AGCAAATGATAGAGGATTAAAAGTGGATGCACTTAATGCTCTCATATCTTTTTAAAACATGAGTATCATTTTCAGTGGAGGTCTTGATAAACCAAATATTATTCTTGTATCATTTTAAGTCATGTCCCGTTCCTTCGCTCACTCCCTACATTCCTAAAGTAACACAATTTCCTTCCTGTCATCCTTCTCTTTTCTGTGCATCCCTTTCTTCCATGCAGACAACAACCACCCTTCAGCATATAACACAGAGACAAAGAAAGTTGAAAGTTGACAATGTATAATAAATCTATATATTTTAAATTAATCTGTATTTGTCCCTCTATTGAGTGTGTTATGATAAAGCTGTCTCACAAAGCATTAGGGAATGATAGACACAGCAAAATGTAAATGATACCATTTCCAAGAATTATCGAAAGAGTCTGTTATAATGTGCAAGTCCTGATGCTGAACAAAAGTGTCTGATTGGAACAAGCAGAACTAAGTCATGTGGCCAATGCAAACACACAGTTGAGTAACACTGCAGGGTCAGAAAGGACAAATGCTGCAATATCAAAAAAAAAAAACTTAAAGCAAAAAAAAAGAAAAAGAGAGAGTTTCCAAACCTAATCCTAAGGGACAGGGAGGGAGCTGAGGCCAGAACAAGGTCTGTACCCGTGTCTTCCAGACCTCTTCCAAATGAAGCAGAATCATACTACAATACTAGAATGGCACTCAGTACTGTGCATACCTCCACCAAGACCAAACAGTCCCTTTAAATTCAATCATATTGCACCAGATAAATGTATCAGTGAAAATGTTGAAATCTCCCAATGTTAAAGAAATCCACCCACTGATCCAGAGTCCTTCCTTAGGTCATAGCCCATCCCTCCAGAAATTGTCATGGGATTCGGTTGAGTGTGTTTTGAGTAATCCTGATAACAAACATACACAGATGAAAAAATAACCTCCTTGGCGGACGTAATAGCAAGACCTGACTAACCTTAAAGTTTAGATATGCCTTATTCATAACAGGAAAAGATAAAGTATTTTGGCTTTGGACACATAAAGAAGCAGAAAGGCCCTATCACACCCTAAAACAATGAGGGAACAACATTAATAAATGCACAATGAAGCACAAAGAAGTAATAGTATAAACTAAGCCCAACTGTCATAACCCAGAACAGAATTATGCAGAGGCATAGTCACAGGTTGTTATGTTCCCACACTGAATAATCCCTCCCTGAATCACTGGGGCTTTTGAGAAGCTTCTCTTTGGCAACTTTTTTTTATTTTATTTAATTTATTACTGATGGTAGCTAGGCAGCTAATGAATAGTACCAGTATGTGCCAAAGGATATATGGTAATTAATGACAGAGAAAGAAATGCTGTTTTAGCAATCCACAGAAAATCAGTGATGTCAGATTATTTCATGGATCAGAATGTTTAAGTTACTGAGTTAAGTGTCCTCACTGGGGTAACTACTCTTTACAGGTCCTGGCTTCTCCATGAAGTCGTGACTGAATATGTGATTCTTCAACATTGTGAGAAACAAGTTTCCAAAAAATGTATAGCCATTATGCTTGTACGACAGTTTGCTGAAAGTATATTACATGTGCCTCTTTCTTAACACTAGGCAAAACATGATGGCATGGGAGGTTACATACAGAGTTAACAACATTGGGAGAAAAGAGTGAGCACAAATACAGAGAGGCTCACACAGAAAACAGCTTTAAACAGAACCAGACCTGCCTGGGAAATAAACAGGAAACACATGTCCAGGACAGATGGGCACACAGACCAACGGACAGAGACAGGAGCTCCCCAGTCTCTGGTCACCTGCTTAGTCTGAGCTCAACACTGAAATAAGGCTGTATTTTACTATATACGATGGGATTGTAAACATGGCGACTTATTAGGTCAACAATTCAAATCACTAGCAACTTTTCTATTACTGCTGAGGCCATAACATCCACATCATACTGTACAAACTCTACAAAGGTCTGTGCAGCACTGCTTTTCCAATTCCACACTGGTCTACTCCCACATAATTTCATACTATTATGTACACTTTTACTCACCCACCATCCCACTCCATTCACTCCCACAGAGATTCTGATTCTGCAACACTGATCTATTCAATTCTGTACAATCTAGTCAGCATAAGCAGAAAATAAGACACACATATCCCTCATATATTGTATTCATCTAAATAACTTTAAATACAGTTGTTGATGAGATGAACTGAAAATGAGCTTCAAAAAAACACACCACAATCTTGATCTTCCAACTGAAACTAAGATTGGTTGCAGAATTCAACAGTCAAATAGAAACCTTCAGTCCAGCAACATGCATTAACACATGTGGTGCATTGCCACATTTCTGTATCTACAGTGAAATTTCAAATGTTTTAAAAGTGTTGCTCAGGCCAAAACACGCTGCTCACTGTGAGTGTGTCATTTGGCAAAAGACAAATCAAGCTCTCATAATGTGCTGACTATGTTTTCATCTGGATTGCAGCACAGAGCGATACAAATCCCACTCATTAGGCCACAAAATGTCTTTTACGATGGACTGTGTTGTTCTAAAGAAGACTAATAGGATATGTTGGCCGCAGGTCTTCGACATCTTAACACCCAACGGTTTTCTAAAGATCTTGTGAATTGTAAGGCAAATTAAAGTATAAGTGACAACAGACAAAACAGCCGAAATTTAAACCAGGAAGTTAGTGGGTGACATTTGGTTAAGTATGTATTCGTGTGGCTGATACGAGAGGAATAAAAACAGCCCCTCTGTTTATCATGCAGAAGACCTTAAAAGATTTTACACATTTCTTGAAGGAAAAGGAAAAACTAAGAGATGGAAAACAGTGATTCTAAAACACCCAAAAGACAATGAGAGGTTTGAGATCATCTGCTTCATGTTTTCACTGATGTGATGCTGCACCCCTGGGATATTACATAAATGTGCCAGAAGTTAAAGTGGACCTCCAAATTGTGGGTTCGTGACATGCAGAGGGAGCTGGGACACCGTCAACAGTTTCAGGAAGGATTAAGCAATGGACAGAACCGCAAAGGGAGAGCAGTACAAAGAGGAAATTCAGTGTGAATGAGGAGAACTGGACTCCATTACATTACTGCATGGGGGTGGGGTCTCTCCTCCCTCCACTCAGCCAACGGGAAGCACGCCAGCAAGATAATCAATAAGAGTTAATGCTGTTTGACTCAGGCCTGCACAACATGCTCATGAGCCAGCAACATTCATGCAATCAATGACCCTGTTGTACTTCTGGGGTAAACTGGACACAACTGACAGCTTTAGCTCGTCTCCTTTCCCAAGCCATCCAGCATGTCTCGTACGTTAAGCTGTACCCATCAAGTTATCACCAAACCGGACAGGTAGGACAAAAACAGAAGAATACAACAATCAGCCACAACATTAAAACAAGTTACCTGTTTTGATGCAAATAATGTGTGTATGATAACATTGTGCGTCCTCTTAGTGAATCCACTCTAGACTACCTGTGTTTGTTTATAAATAAAGTTGTCTCCATTAATACAGTACCGATGCGCTAACGTGTGTGGGCCTGATGCTTGTACATGCCAAGTCGCATCACAACATTTTGTGGCTGTATTTCCAGTGCGTGGCCTCATACCACCGCTCGCCCACTATTGTTTTGCTACTACAGCTTTTGTCAGGGAGAGATGGTTGCATGTGCACAAACATGCGCAGGGGGGAAACCAAAGCACACCACAGTATGATGTCCTGCAAAACCATGAACGTAAACTGCCCTTCTCTTTCCCACAGTCTGTAAAAATCCTACCCAGCATGCAACTCCACAGCAGAAATTAAATACCGCGACCTGATTCGCTCAGCTCCGTATGAGGTGCTGTAAAAGCAGCAACTTCACACACAGCAGTCTGGCAAAACATGTGTATGAGAGAGGAGTTAGTTAAATATGCACTCAATGACCTCTCCTCTCTGAATAATAACCTGCTTCCAGACAGGTTGACATCAGGTTGGCAGAAGCCAGATTGATGGGTGGACTTTTAGTTCAAACTCTAAATCTGCAATGCAACGTTCATGCAGAAGTCCGATGAGGAAGAAAAATGCAAGATGGAAAGCTGGATAGAATTTCCTGATTGGCAGGGAAAAGGTATTCAGATAGTAGGGCAAAGTTTAGCCAACTGTCCAACTATCAGAAGGATAAATACAGGCTAGGTATCAGGCTACACAGAGTAGACTGTGCTTCTCTAATTTGGCCAGATTGGTTTCATAATACCCGTACAATGCCATTTAATTATATTTATATATTTTGTCTGGAAATGGAAATGCCCTTTTTGTCTTGTCCTTAGCTCTGTTATCCTTTGTTAAAGTTCAGTGTTGGTTCTTCAGAAGGTTGAGTCATGTTGCGTGCAACACAGGGAGATGGGCAATGCTTGTCCCAATTAGAGTGTGTGTGTGTGTGTGTGTTGTTTCAGTGTTTTTTGAAACAACATGTGGGAGTTAGAACAGAATTTAAGTGGTGACTCGAGAAAAAAGACGGAGAAAACTACATTGAAACACAAGATAAAAGAGAATAAACCGGTGGTGTGGAGGCAGACAATGGGAAACACTGGAATGGAACAGTTCATGTCATACTCAGTAGTAGCAGCGTGTATAGGAAACTCTCATCTCGTGCAGTTGCTGCAAAATGATCAAGGCTCCCCAAAAATTCTCCATCCTCCCTACACATTATCCACCCACACACAACCCATAAGCAGGTTTTCTGAGAAAATATAGCCGGCAGTAAAATGTGGAAAAAGCCAAATGATCAGCTTGCCCTGAACACTGTAAGCAATGTCTGGAGCTTTCCAGAAATATTTCTCTACCTAAGATGTGTTCCACCTTTAAAAAGCCACACAATTGCGAGAGTTTCATTTGAGAATAGAAATGTGTTAAATTGTAAAGTTAAAAAGTGTTAAATGTCCCATTTTTGTTTAATCACCCACCTGATGGAGCTGAATAAAACATCTGATCTCACCTGTGGTTTCCTCATCTTCCTCTTTTAGCACGTTGTTGTCATCCACATCATCCTCCTCACTCCTTTCTTTCTTTCCCCCTCTTGTGTTGTCCTTCACCGGGACCACAGTAAAGCTGGTGGGCATTTTTACACCATGTGCTTCCTCTCAATGTCTCCTGTTTGTCACACTCTTATCTCTCGCTCTTTTCTCCTCCCTCTCTGTGCTGCTGCCCCTCTCTCTCTTCCTCTGTCCAATAGCTGTCACTGTTCTCCTCTTTCTTGCTCTTGTTCGTTGGTAGCTGGTTGCTTTTTTTTCCCCTCCCGACTTACTGCCCTGATGTACCTAACTCTCTTGGACAGACGTCTGGTCTTTCTTCTGAGTTTTTGTTCCTATCGCTGGGATTCTACTGTACACCCATGTGACCCCAGCCCCCTCCCCGCACCGACTCTCCAAATAAGGAAGAGAAGAACTGCCCCGCCCAATGGGGGTAGCACACACAAACACACACTGGCAGAAAACATGACATGCATTTGTGCTCATGTGTGAGCTCATACATACAGCAATTTCTGTGCCTGAGGCCAGATCCTCTGTCCAGGAATGTCGCTCTGTCTGACACACAACAAAAGCCAGCAGTGCCAGTCTTTGTTCATAGAGAGGAGGAAGCCCAGAGCTGCTCCACTGAGGAAAAGTTTTCCACACACAAATACACACATCTTGCGGTGTTATTTGACCCCGTGTGCATAGTTTAAAGTGGGCAGGGCTGATTTAAAGACGTATACTGGCCCTCGAAGCACACACCCCTGTAGAGGACTAGCACAAGTGCATGCACATGCTAAAACACATGTCCAACTTCTGCCTTATCTGCCTTATTAAAAATGCACTGCACAGTATGGAACTGTGAAAACACAGTGGAAAACAGTGTGCCTTTGTATCTTCATCTCTTCAGACCAACCTTGAAAATAAGACATACATTGATGACAGAAGAGGCAAATAATTGCAAATATGAATGAGACAATTGTTGTTAGATTCAAAGCCTCAGTACATTTTCACAATGGAGTGTGTAGGAGCTAAAAGAGAATAAAAAATGTCACTTTCTTTTAATACAATATCTCCCCAAAGAAACAAAAACCACATGGCATGATCAAATGTCATTTATTTAATTAATTTCCTTTATTTCAATCTCATTTATTATTTAATCACCTTTCTCACCTATCTTATCTCCATTCTCTTCTATCACGCAATGTATCACAATCACTTTGCAGCAGCAGTCTATTGCTGCTTCCATCCACATCCATCAGCTGACCTTCTCTCTCGTCCAAAAACAATGAGTCATTTCCTCAGGGTATGAGCACAGTGAAAGTGATACAAGGTATTAGATCTCAAGTAACCAACCCCCCTATTTGATGGGAAATGCAGTGACAAACTCAGCCGGAGGGAAAAACCCACCTCATACGAGGAAAATGTCCGGCTTTTTCATAACTCTGCAGCTTTACCAGTCGATGTGTACGAAATATCTAGAGTCTCAATCCAGAACAAGTGAACCTTTCCCCAATATGACGACATACAAGATCAATACAGTCAGCGGAAGGGTGGAGGCTGCAGGAAAGAGGAAAGGGAGGAGGTTGAGCTGAAGAGAGGCAAAGAGACAGAGTCAGTGATCAAGTTTCACTGACAAATATTTATTTTAGCATTGTAATATGTTTCTGATGACTGAAGAAAGAATAAGAATAATTTACCTGGCACTAATGAGGTTTCTAAACTCAGCTATTATCATCTGCCTATAAAAAAGAGGCTAATTTATTTTAGAGATATGCTGTCGCTACATAAGAGAAATGAATTTGCCACAACACTCGTCAAGTCCTAAATCTTTTGTTTGTCGGCCATCAATTCAGAAATCCTTTGAAGCAAAACGATATGGATATCATTGATCAATAAATTGATCTGACAACTGTGCATTCAAAAACATGTTTTGGTCTACAAAGTGAGCACTTATCAGATAAGCATGATGTAACTGACATCCACTGATTACATGGCCAGACAGTCTGACTGCTTCTCAAGAACAGCCAATGCTTCCAGGCCACGAGGACAATGTCCCATTCATGGGGGCATTTACAACAATGCTCACCGGAGTGAAAACTAGAACTGCTCACGGCAAAAATGTTCCATAAATATCTCTCTGGCAATCTCTCAGCATGTTATGTTTGAATTTGTTTTTTTGTGGACAGAAGCATAATATGAAAACACAGATGCATGAGGGTATTTGACACAGATGTCTAGATGCAGCTGTTGCTTCAGAGGAATCACGGGAAAAGAAGACAATCAAGTTATAAACTCGGATACCATTCGTTAGAGAGCATACTGCCACGGCCCAACAGCCCCCTTTAATTCAATCAAGTCTTACCAAATAGTATAGATATATCAGGGCCCAAAACATGCCTGTGTTTTTTCACCAATATCCACAAATGATTCCCTCTGTGAAGTTAAAACTTCCTGTATGCGCAACAAAATGTAATGGGGCCTCTTCTGACATTAACCGCATACTTCCACCAGGTTCTGTAATGCATCCAGTAATTTTTGCATGATCCTGCTGACTACCAAACAAAGAAACAAAGATTAAAACATAACCTCCTTAGCAGAGGTATAACTATCTGCAACAGAAAAACCTAAGTCTTAATAGGGACAACACTTTCTGCACTGCAGACACTTTGATAATAGATTAACTACACCAGAAAGCACCAAACCTATAGGAGAACTGTTTCTTTCTATATATCGGAAAGTTTTAGACACCATCCTAAAATGTTCAGTAATTTTCCCCTGCATTCATTTGGCTCGACTCACTGGAATTATAAAATCCTGGGGATTTTCCTGTGCTTCTTGGTTGGGGATATAAATCACTGAAGACTTTCCATTAATACATGGAACGGTATGACTTAAAGGTACAGTGTGTAGAATTTAGTGTTGCAATTGCATGTTGCAGCTGAACACCCCTCACCTCACCCTCTCCTTCCAAACATGAAAAAGAACCTGTGGTAGCTTCAGTTGTCTTAAAAACTCAAAAGGTGTTTAGTTTTTCATTCTGGGCTACTATAAAAAACATGGCGGCCTCCGTAGAGAAGACCCCTCCATGTAAATATAAAGTAATTAAATATAAAGGGCCTTTTCTAGGGAAAAGAAAACAACAATTCATACAATTTAGATGAAATGAACTAGTGAAAACATCATGAGGATTATTCTACATTAAAATTCTGCCAACAGATCCCTTCACCTTAATCTTACACACTGGACCTTTAATGCACATTATGGATTTAATTTAAATGGGTAAATCACCTTTAATACTCTTGTCTCTCCAGGTTTTGCCCACTAGGATTCAGGCTGTGTATTGGATTCAGCCACATCCTGTCAGATCCTCTCAATTGTCTGTGAACGGCCATTTTTACGTCTGCTATAAATTCAGTTTGGCACTAAAAGGGAGTCGAGTGGGGTATCATGTGTCACTCACTAAAAAGTGACTTCGATCTAGCCACTCTACCATTAAGGCCTGATTGATGGAAGCTAACTGAGCCCTTCTGGTCCAGTTATTCAGTGGACAACAAACTCTAGGAGCCCTGGTTGTTCCAGACTTTTAATTTTGAAACTACTGAATGTAGATTGATGGTAAAACAAATTACAATTTTATCCTTTTAAAATTAAATCTACAACAATAAAGTGCAAAAAGCGGATGGCTTTAGTCTATTACACAGCGATGCATTCATCTGCCCTAAAAAAAAAACTAAACTGACCTTTATCTCTACAGGCTCAGATTTCCAACACCAAAATAGGTATATTGATTGAGTCTACAAGGCAAAATGGGAGGAGACTGGACATGCATCAGAGACACTAAGTACAGTCCAAGGACAAGAACAGGAGGGTGGAAGGTTCAGTTTCTCTTTTCCAGCGGAAGAGTACTGAGCTGAAAAGCACAGTAATCAATAAGTACCCATCATGGGTGGGACACTCAAAATAACTTTGATTGAAAGTTTGTTTACATCTGTAATTATACAATAAGTAAGCTAATACAATATTGCTTTATTTGTTCTAAAAACAAAGTTCAATTTATTTCAATTTGTTGATATATATGATTATTACGACATAAATAATAATAAATAAATAATATTAATTAATAATACACGTATTAATAGTATATATATTGTGACAAAGCAAAAGTTAAAATTTTAAAACATAATAATGGCAGGACTAATGTAGACAATTCAGAAAACATCACTTCAAATGACTGTGACATTAGGCCTGCTCAAGAGCATTTAATCTTCACTAGTGACTGATAGCGCCCTCTGGAGGTATGGGAGAAAGGACAACCTCCCTGTGGGTGTGCACACTGTAAAACGTTTCAATAGAAACACAACTGCAGGAATCTAAGAAAAGCATGGTGGTTAACAGACGAGAACATGATCCGTTCATCACGCCGTGTGAGTTTGGGTCATGGCCTTCGTCACGTGGCTTCTTTCCTTCTCTCTACACTTCCTCTTCAAACTGCACTGCTTAGTTGCTTTGGATGAAGAGATGTCAGAGGGCGAAGAAAAGAAAACAAGGAATTATATTGTACCATACAATGACGTGCTATAGCTCAGGTGGGAGCAAAGGTTACTCCAACATCATCAAGTTTTATTTGTTGAATGTAAAACCAACCTCCTAGTATTTTAGCTGTTCTGTTCTCTATCATTTTTTTTTCTTCTCAACAATGACCCTGTGTTGCCCCCATGAGATCAAAACTGGAAGTTCACCATCACCATCGGGAGAAATTATGAAAGAACCATGTGTTTTATATATTAATCAAATGTAGAGCAACAGGATGAACAGAAGCAGGCAGGGTCCGCTAATCCAAAACAACAAGCATCATTAACAGCACACCATGTAGGCTAATGAGGGGTAAACTAGGAAATGCCCCCTTTCCTTTAAAAGGCACTGACGCAACTGAAGCGAAAGAGGAACAATACCAGTGAACATACCCAGTCAGACTTTCCTAATGGTGACTGAAGATTTTCCTTTCAAGACTCTACAACCAGCGCTGCTCCCATAGGAGACCACATGCACCTGAATTCTGACAATATACGACAATACTATAATTCCCTTGGGGGTCATTTCATTGTAACATTGGTCTGAGCAATTTCAATGCCTTTGTATGTACAATCCTGTTAACATTGTAAAATAATGACAATAATGACTATTCTTATATCACTCTCATTTTCATATTGTCCCCATCTTTCTAATTCTACTTGTTTAGGTTGCTCTTGTTTTCATATCTTATGTATAACTTTTTTGTTCCGATTTATTTGTATCGCATGTTTATTTCTTACTTTTTTACAGATTGTCTTGAACCCCTTAGTTGCTGTCA